CGCCGCCCCCGGGGGGAGGGACGGCGCCGGCCCCGGCCCCGGCGCTGCGTCATATGGCCCCGCCGCCCTGCCCTCTGGAGCCCCCCGCGGGCCAGGCTGGGGCGGGGGCACCGCTGTGCTAGGTGTATCGGGAGAGAAGGGACCCGAGGTTGCACAGGCTGGGAAGCTTGGAAACCTTGGAGGATTTTAAGAGTTGGTTACCCAAAGCCTTGGTTGGGATGATCCAGTTGGGGCTGGTCCTGCTGGACTCGTTGTGACCTCCTGAGGTCCCTCCAACCCACATTTTCTACGATGACAAGTTCTAGCAGAGTATAAGGGCAGCCTGATGGTGCTGCTTCACTTGCGCCGTGCACCCTGTTGCTAAAATGCTTCGTGTTCAGAAGCTTGCAAAAGTGTATCCCAGCCCCGCGGCTGGGCTGGTAAGATGTGCCCCCCACACCTATTTTTTACTCCCTTTGTGCACTTGTGACATTTCCTTTTACTTGTAAAAACTCTTAGTAACACTTACTAATGTGAAAACAGAGGTTGAAACAAAGCAGCAGCCCGCACGTGCAGGTCAAGTGGCTAAATCAGCATTGCCAAATCAGCTTTTGTTTTGAAGCTTCGTGGCGTGGAGCGCTTGAAGCCGCAACCATCGCTGGTTGCTACATGCATCCTCCTCCCAGCGTATGGACTGCGCTGTTCCTCCACTCGGAGTATGTGTTTGTGCACATGTGTTTGTGCACATGTGTTTGTGGTGATGAAATCACAAAAGTGTTGAAAATGGTTGCACGTTGCCTGGTATTTTTAAGCAGCCCTTTGTGTATGCGCACATATGTGCATGCATGGAGTTTGTTTAAACAAAATGGGAAACAAGTTCTTTTATGCTCTGCTTCCTAGTTTACCATCATGTCTACCTTACCTAGGCAGTCCCAGGCAAGAATAAGATCTTGATATTTTAGACCCTAACAATAATGGTTGCAACACTGCTATTTCGGCAGTACACATAATGACAAGGTTTAGATACAGTGCAGCTCACAGTCAGCAGAGCATTGAGCGTAACAAGTTTGTGGGAGCTTAGATCAGTCCTTTAGTCAAAAGCATCTATTCCACTTCAAAATTATGTTGGCCACCTACTACAATCCAAAGGTCAAATGTGGTATGCATAAAATGGGACCCATAAATGCCATATGAGGACTGTAGGTCCTCTTTGATCTGGGCAGCAGAGGAGAGGGCTCCTCAAGAGATGACTCCACCTTATTTGTAATAGGAATGACTATGGATTACTTTTTGCCAGTGGATCACCTTTGCTCATCCCTGATTGTAGACAGTTGCAACTTTAAACCAAAAGTGGGAGACTTAGGATTGCATATCAGCCATTCCAATTTAACAGTTCAGTCTGTTCACTTCTGTACCGCTGTAAGTGAACTAATTTCTTTCAACTTTGACCTTACATTGTCTTAGCTCCGTTTATCCTTGCATAAGAGCAGAGAGATGGTGCACTTATCTTGGCTATAGTGTAATACCAGTATAACGGTTACATCTATGCATATGTCTTATTTCACCTAGTGAGAGAAGCTTGCATAATGTTTACCAAATACCATTATGCAAACCATAAGTGTAGATAGGTCAGTAAAGCATTTGGTCATAAATACTCTTCTTGGGTTTTTTTTCTTCAGGTGTGTATCATTGCCCATGTAACTGCCACAAAAATGCCAAGCTTTCAACGACATGAAGAGGAGAAGTTCTTTGTGAATGCTGAAGGCAAGAAGGAATCTGTACCAAGCATACATGACCCACCTACAAAGGAGCTCTCTGTTGTTGTGCCTTCATACAATGAGGAAGACCGGTGTAAGATTCTACCCAAACTTAAGTCTGTGTTGTAAACAGTTGTCAGCAACAGAGCATTGCAGACCAGGTTATATAGCTGCTTTGCATACCTTGCTCCCAGGTTTTCATGAAACAGCATACATCAATGGGAATTCATCCTAGAGAGCAATTGTAGCTTGTCTGTATCCCTGGACAAGTCATGCCTACGTTTGTCCCAGAGTAGAAGTGTCCCGGGATTGGCATTTACCTGTATCACCCTTCTGATCGGGTTTTAATGAGTGGCTGAGTGCACTGCAGCTTTTCTTCCATTGGTTCAATGATGCACTCCCAGGGTAACTGTTCAGATGCACTTTTTGGTGTTCCAGGATAAACTGTTAGTACTTCTTATCCGTTGAACCTTTTTAAGACTTATCCTGAGACAACAGACTTGGACGTCTGAACAATTGCACTTTGTCATGGGATAAAATGATTTATCTGAGAATCAAGGTACTGTTTGTTTATAGCCTTGGAGTCAGCATGGAGCAGAATAAAAATGAGCTTAAATAGCCTTCTGAGTGAGTCTGTGTGCACTGAGGAGAAATAAGCCACATCACTCCACATAAACCTAGGCCCACAAATTAGCCTAGTAGAGGACTTGGATTGCTCCTTCAGGTGCACTCCAGGAAATTGTTGTGCCTCTCTCTGCTGAGGCATACACTCAAGCCTGCTCCAAGTCATCTGCCTTGACAACATGCAAACCTGGGCTTGGGTACACGTGTGGAGGGTTTGTTTCTCAGCTGCCATGCAGACTTGCTCAGGGCAGCTTGGGCATACTATTTGTGTGTCTTTTTTGAGATTTCAGCCAGCAAATGAGCTGTATGGTAGGAAGAAGGATTTTGTGAAGCATTTTTAGGTTTGATTGCTGCCTGTTCTATGCATTCCTTATGCAAGTCACTAATATGTAAAGGTCTTTTTGGTGTAAAGGGGGCTAAACTATAGACTATTTCATTTGGCAAAAGCATGTGGGAGGTCATTCTCAATAGTAGCCCCTCAGCTTTGGAGCTCCCTCTCCTTTGAGGTGTCCCAAAGCACAAATCTGGACATCTGGAAGTGCTGCACGATCTTCCTATTTGGGCAAGCATTTATCAGGCAAGACCATGCTGGAATATTGTTTAGGACATTGGCTCTCAATCTTTTGAGAGTCAGGACACCCCTCCTTAACTTTTTTTTTTAATTTGGTGGCACCCTGGTTGAGAATCAGATGTACTGCCATAGCTTTCCAGGTAACTCCTTCAATTCAGTAAGGGGTTTACTAACTCCTAACATTTTCCTTTTCCCACAATAGCACAAGATGACAGCAGTGGAGTCATTAGCTCCTATCCCACTCATTTTAGGAAAACCTCCCCAGGTTTGATTTTCCTGTTTACTTACACAAGAAATTCTCAATTAGTTGCATTGGAATTGCTCCTGATTTGCACCACATTAATTGAGATAGGAATGATGTGTAGACAGCAAAATAAAATAAAATGCTCTTCTACTTTCCCCCCCTATGAAGGACTCCTATGGATATGAATGGGATTCTTGTGAGTGGAATAAAGGGGGTATAAATTGACCTGATTTATCTTAGTTTAGGACAAAAAGGCAAATAGTCTGGGGGGGGACAAGACTGTAACAAGCACAAGAACTTGCTGTAATAAGCACAAGAACTTTTTTTTTTTTTTAACATAAGCATAAAATTATCATGGGCTCTGTCAGCATGTCAATGAATTCTCCCATCTTTAGGGCAGTGGCTCTCAACTGGGATACTGCTGTGATTGCCACTACATCCAAGTGGAACTGTACTGGGCATCTCCTGGAGAACCATACTGCGAAGCAGTTGTGACAAGAACATCCTCTGGGCACGCTGGAGGAGAGGGGCAGGCTGCAACTAGATATGGACAGGTTACAGGGGTGGGTGGATGAGAACAGGATGGGTTTCAATACTGACAAGTGCAAGGTATTGCACCTGAGGAGGAAGAACCAGCAGGCTGGGGAACTCCCTTCTCGTCAGCACAGAGACAGAAAAGGACCTTGGTCATTCCACCCCATTCTCGTTAAAAAGCTAGGCGACTGTGGCATTGATGCCTACACAGTCAGATGGGTCGCATATTGGCGCACCCAGAGAGAGGCCAGGCCACGCCCAGAAAGTGATGGTGGATGGGTCGTATTTGACCTGAAGGGATGTGGGCAGTGGAGTCCCCCAGGGCTCGGTCCTCAGGCCCACACTGTTCAGTCTCTTTATTAGCAACTTGGACGAGGGAGTGAAAAAGCACCCTGTTCAAATTCACTGACGACACCAAGATCTGGGGCGAGGTGGGCATGCTAGAAGGGAGGGACAGGATACAGCTGGACCTGGACAGGTTACAGGGGTGGGCGAATGAGAACAGGATGGGATTCAATACTGACAAGTGCAGAGTACTGCACTTGGGCAGTAAGAACCAGCAGCATACCTGTAGGCTGGGGAAGTCCCTTGTAAGCACAGTGACAGAAAGAGATCTTGGAGTCATTATCGATTCCAAAATGAACATGGGCCGCCAATGTGAGGACACAGTAAGGCCAACCGTACCTTGTCATGCATTCACAGATGCATCTCAGGCAGGGCCAAGGAGATGATCCTCCCCCTCTATGCGATGCTGGTCAGGCCACAGTTGGAGTACTGCATCCAGTTCTGGGTGCCGCACTTTAGGAGAGATGTGGCCAGCATCGAGAGGGTCCAGAGGAGGGCCACTCACATGATCAGGGGGCAGCAAGGCAGGCCCTACTAGCAGAGGCTACGGGACCTGAACCTGTTCAGCTTCCACAAGAGAAGGCTATGGGGATCTGGTGGCCATCTACAAACTGGCCAAGGGGGACCAGCAGGCTATGGGAGAGTCCCTGTTCCCCCGAGCGCTACTGGGAGTAACAAGGAATAACGGCCATAAGTTGACTGAGAGTAGATTCAGGCTAGATATCAGGAGGCACTACTTCATAGTCAGGGTGGCTAGGATCTGGAACCCACTTCCAAGGGAAGTGGTGCTCACTCCTACCTTGGGGGTCTTCAAAAGGAAGCTGGATAATCACCTAGTTGGGGTTGTTTGACCCTAGCATTCTTTCCTGCCATGGCAGGGGATCAGACTTGATGATCTGCTTAGGTCCCTTCCGACCCTACCAACTATGAACCATCCACTGTCACTGCACCCTTCTTGGTCCAGCCCCATGGTCCTCCTAGAAACAGGCACCAGGGACAGTTCTACTTGCCCTTATGCCTGTTTCTGGGAGACCCTCTATAGGTTTGAACTGGGAAGGGCTACAGTGAGAGCAGGTACTCCTGCCACAGGCACTTCTCAGTCTGGATCTAGCAGAGGTGTACATGGCATAGTCCCACCTGACCATGGCAGCAGTGGCACCCCTGAAAAGGTATCGCACCACCCCAGGGTGCTGCAACATTGAGAACCACTGGTTTAGAGGGGGTTTGCTATAGAGTTTATTTTGGCTTCTTAAGTTGTTTTTTTCACCTGTTGTTTGTTTTCTTCTCTTGCTATATAAATTGTTTTGCTGTCCTCTGTAAACTGCCCTGAGCCTTTCACTGGAAGTGCAATATATAAATATAATAAGTAGAGCCTCATGCTCTCTGCTTCAGCCCCTGTTATCTCCTCTCTGTCTCAACAGCATAATAGAGATGTTGAATAAGGGGTGGGAGGATTGTGCCTGCTGGGACTACAGGTGAGGGCTTTGGTGGGGAGGAGGTTATTTAGAATAACTCTCTAGGTTTGGCCTGAGAGAGGAGACGATTCACCCTTCCAGCTCTGAAAGTAGGGAAATTTATAAGATGATGCAAAGACGATCCACTTGGATGGGAGGATATGCTTTTCTTATCTGGATAGATCAGCTAGAAGAGCTTTAAGTGCTATCTCAATCAGATACCCTGGCTTGAAGCTTTTCTAAGGATGCTCCAGGATACTAGTATCTGACATGGTGCTAGTGATGTATTTTGGTATCTTTTGATAGCTTGTTGAGCAGGAGGAGGAAAAGTTCTAATATGTGGCATGATCACTAATGAAGACTAGTGGTTTATCTTAGTACTAGTGGGGCTATTGCATATTTCGGGGTAGGAAGATGATTTCCCTCCTTAGAGAAAATGTTGCAACCTCCTGTTAGCAAGAAGTCTCAGGTGTTCTCTAGATCTTGCCTTTCCTGGACAGGGACAGTAGTCACGAGCAGTTACTCTGTTTCTATAAGTTAACACTAGTCTGGTTGAGAACATTTACTTTACTTAGCCAACTAGTTACTGTTAGTTGGTTCATGTAGGTGGTATTTTATGCTTAGCCTCTTGCCTCTCCTACCTTGCTTTTATTATTCATATTTCTTTGCACTGATACTGTATAGCTGATATTTAACCAATATATTAATGATCAAAAGGTATGCTCAGTGGTAAGCACTAATGTGCTTAGTCAAATCAGAATTAAAATCCTGTAATACTTGTACTCTTCATTTATAATTATTAAATATTTATGTTATGGTAGTAGCTAGAGCCTCTTAGCAGAATTGGGATCCCATAGAAATTCATGAAGAAGTGGTCCCTCCATCAAAAGATAGAAAAGATCTCAGTTCCACAAAGACATCAATATATGCTTAATTTCATGCAGTGAGAATTGTCCCATTAATATCTAAGTGCAGTCTATGCAAAACTGAAAAAATAATTTGCTAAGAGAAGGGAAATGGGTACACAAAGAAGTAAGGTCTGAGGTTCTATAGTGATTTGGATAGAGGAGCTAGCAGTAAAGCCAAGCCCACTTAACTTTTAGTTGAACCAGAAATTAAATTTCTAATTGTAAGCAGGAGGGGGCAGGGGGAGAACTGTTTTCGACTCTGCAGGATTTTTACCCAGAGGCTTGACTTTTCTAGAATATGATGCAACAACATTTTAAGTTTGCTTTCATTATGTACTTTTTTCTGCTTTCAGTACCTCTTATGATGGATGAAGCATTAGACTATCTGGAAAAAAGACAGGTGTGATATTTTCATTTTCACATTTAAAATACAGTGTTTGTATAAATATTTAAGAACTAAAAAGCCTGCTTATTTGATTGTTGAGGTTTAGCTAGATGGAGTGCAAAATTACCGAACTGAAACCAGTGTATTCTATCCTGGCATATTCCCTTTACAGAATTTTTGACTGAATGATGGATGATAATTTAATTTTTACCAAAACATAAAGATTAATTATTATACCTCAAAAAAGCATGTTACTTTTCTGGTATGTATCCAGAATAGACAGATTAGTAGGACATAATTGAAAAAACAGTCTGAGTCAGAGGTGTCAGACATGGCTCGTGGAAGTGGGTCATTGGGTTTCAAGATGACCTGTTTCCCGTATCTGGCCTATGGGGTTTCTTAGGAACTGCTAGGCTGCTCTGTCATTGGGCTCATCTGGGGGGTTAATGCCACTCACCCTGGTACCAAGATTTGTGATCTCTGTGGGGCATGCATATATGTTGGGCTAAGGTAGGGAACAGCAGTGGCATTGACTGCCCACATGCTGGCTGTGTTGACTGGACCAACCATATAGCTCTCGCAGCTGCTGCAAGAAGCTGCGTGAGCTAGATCTGGCCTATCAACTCAAATGAGTTTGACACCTTTGGTCTGGGTCAGTGATACTCAATATTTTGGCTCTGTGGACCAAATAAGTGGTACAGAGCTGGTTTGTGGGCTGGATTGGACGCCAGTGCCACAGAATCAGGGCCACATGCCCAGATTCAGATCACGCTGCCTCTGCCTGGTCCTGTGTGTCAGGATCAGGGCCCTGGAACCCTGTGCCACCTTAGTTTGGTCCTGCATGTGTGGATCACGGCCCTGAGACCCTGCACTGGCTCTGTGACACTCTTTGCACTGGACCTAGCTTACAGGGTCATGGCCCTGGGGCTCCCCATGAACCTGTGGTTACCTCCATGGGCTGGATGACAAGATGCCAGGAGCTATATCTACCCTTCCACTCTGAAAGTACCAGGAGTGGTACTCCTGGTCTGCGTTTATTCCCACAACATCCTTGGAAGCTTTTGTTATTCTCATTTGCTTGTCTTCCTAGCAGACAGCATGTTTCAGAAAATAAGGCAACGCTTTACTGATTTTTGACATAAGACCTACTCACAACTTTAATGTATTAATTTTCATAAGAGTTTTGACTTTCAGCTGTTTGTAGTAGCTGAAAAAATACAAAATGGTAGTGTAATGGTAGTGTAATAAGCATCTAATTTAACAGCCTAACACTACATATATTGGCAACAAGCTAATCTCTCTCAAAGGATGATTGTCTTTTTAGGAAATTAACAAAATAATATTGTTGAGAGAAAAGGCTGTTGTGGAACATAGGGAGAGCAGTTTAACCATGTGTGAAGGGGGTGAGAAGGATGAAGGAGAGATCAGGTTAAACAAGCAATTTCCTTTTTTATTTTTAAGGAACAGGATCCTTCATTCACTTATGAAGTAATAGTGGTTGATGATGGTAGCAAAGATCAAACCACAAAGGTAAGAAAATAACTTTACTAGTTTTCCCTCGTAGCAGCTAGGGGTAGGAGGGAGAGAAAATACATATCTCACAGCTTCAGTGTTTATAAAACAACATAAACCCTCATCTTTTGTTTTATACTTTCTGCTGTTAGTATTTTCAATTTTTTTCCATTAGGCAATTAAATTCTGGTCTCTGATACTTCCTGGAGTACTTCTAGCATCATATTCTGCTGTTGTCATGCATGCAGTACTATTACTGTATTTTCTAGCTACACATTAAAAAAAAACAATGACAAGATGCAGCTAGGCCAAGTGTTTGCTTCCTCTTCTTCCTTTGGCTGCATCCTTACTTTTAGGGATGTAAATATTGTTAATTAATTTAACCTTCTCTTATTATACCAGTGAAATGATTAACCAATAACAAAGCTGATGCTGGGAACCCCTTCAGGGGACCAGAGCACTTTGATTTGTGGGAAGGGGAGAGGAGGTAAGCCCAGCCAGACAACATAGCCCAGGGAAAGCCCTACCCTGGGAGGGAGGGTGTAGCTGTGAATAATCAGCTAATTGCTTAATTGATGAGTCATTAGGCTGCTGCTATTTTTCTCTTAAGCTATGGGTACTAGTCCTCCTCTCTCCTCCCACCTCCCCCTCCTCACTCTTCCCTCCTGGCTGCCCTGCTGTCTTCTAATGCCTGCTTAGGGCAGTTCACAGCTTCCCTTCTCCCTTTCCCTGCCAGATTGTGCCCAACCAGACCTAAAGGTTTTTCAGTAAGCTAACCAGTTACTACTGCACTTATCAGTTAATTAATCATTTAACCTTTCAGGGGTATAGGTTGTAGCCATGTTGGTCTGAGGACATAGGCAGACAAGGTTCTTTTGGTAAATCTGATATCTTTTACTAGACCAACTCAAATAGAAAAAATTCTTCTTTGCAAGCTTTTGGACACAAAAACCCTTTGTCAGGCTGAGAAAACATCTGCAGTTGGTCTGTGCTCTTTCTGGATTCCATCAGAAGAGCACAGACCAACTGCAGATGTTTCCTCAGGCTGGGTTCAGGGCACTCTTCATCCCTCTCCTGTTCAGTTAAAAAGGGATGAGAGAACTAAATCTCCAACTTTCACCTGGGTTACCAGTGTTGTTTTACTCTGTGTTTCATATGTCTTACAGGTCGCACTGAGGTACTGCAAGAAATATGGGAGTGATAAAGTGCGAGTTCTTACATTAGTAAAAAATTGTGGGAAAGGTGGAGCTGTCAGGATGGTAATGAATATTTTTCTTTTCCTGTTTTGAACCAATTACAACCTAGCTAAAATAAACAAATGGTGCCACTGTGATAAAATTTAATTTAACTTCAAGATTTGGAGCAATATGGCTATATGGAAAAATGAAATGTGTGCTCTTCAAAAAAAAGTTTCAAGACAAAGATCTATAGAAAAAGAAAGCTCACTGCAAGACCTTAAAAGCACATTAGGCCTGTCTGCATGAGATGCTGTCTGCACAGTAGCTTAATAATACTGCTTAGTAGTGCATCACAGATGGTGCTAATACGCTACTGTGCAGTAGTATCACTTAAAAGATGTTCAGCACTACTGCACACTAACTCCGCAGTTCCTCTGCTAATACAAGTACTAAATAAATGCGCAGTAACACTGTGCAGTAGTATCTCTTGTAGACAGGTGGCAGCCAGTCAATATGGGGTGCTTGGGCGCCACCCCACCAATTTCAAAATGACATGATCAGTGTTATGATTATGCTCATGCAGTACGCATACATAACAAAAAGTTGAGTATGCACAGTAAGCACCTTGGGGCGATCTCCTTACTGCCCAAGTGGTGCATGAGCAGTAGAAACACTTCAACAGTTGGAATGGATTGCAATAACCTCTTGTTTAAGCAGGGTGCGGCGCTCCTGTATTGATGCCCCAGTGTGGGTAAAAAGCTGTTGGGAGGAAGGTGGAAAGATAGGGGGCACCACTTGCAAAGCAATGCACGTGGCCCCAGGCGGCCTGCAAAGCAGCTCCAGCAGGTAAGTGGAGAGGGGGATTGAGGCCCCTTTAGGGAGGGAGCTGCTGCCCAGCCAGGTGGGGCTTGGGGCTGGAGCCGCAATGCATGGCTGCAGGGCCCCAGCTGGGAGTAAGATAGGGCTGCAGGTGGCTCGTATGGGGGAGGGGGAGGACCAGTTCCTCGCTGCCATGTGCACTCCCAGGGGGCAGAGGGGACCCGTGCCCCCCAGATCTGTACCCGGCACAAGCTGCAGGTTCAAGTTCCTGTCCTGCTTCCCTTTGCTGGGGCTCCTGGAGCTGGCAGGTGCAGCCCGGCATAGCTGGGGACTGCGAGGTTGCATGGGGATTCCTTGCCAGTTCTAGCCCTCCCCTGCTGCCCTGGCGTTGCGCCCCCCTGCACCTGCCACTGCACATGGGGTACATTGCTGGGGCAGTGGGGGTCAGGAAGCAGCAAGAAGGTTTTCCCCGCAATTCCTCTGCTCCCTGCAGCACTGGGTCGTGTGGGGGGGAAGCAGGGTGGCAGGGAATAGCAACGAGCAGGGGGACTGCTGTTCCATGCTGCCTTGCTTCTCCCCCACGACCCAGCACTGCAGGGAGTGGAGCCATGCAGAAAACCTCCTCGCTGCTTCTTGCTGCCCGAGCGACATGCCCCCTGCACACAGGGCTGCAGTGAGGGAAGTGGTGCAGGGCTGCAGTCCTCAAAGCAGCAGCAGGCTCAGGGGGCACATCGCCAAGGCAGTGGGGTGGGGAGGGAAGGAGGAGGCGAGAAGTGGCGAGGAATAGCCGCACAGCCCCTCTGTCCCCAGCTACATTGACTCACTCCCAGTGTGATGCTCCACCTGCCCCACCTGTCTCACAGTTCACCAGCTGCGCCTGATATAGCTATGCCCATTGAGTACCTATCTGTTAGGTTTACAATGAAGAATTATTTTTTCATATAAGAATTCAGCACGCAATCAGTTATTAAACCCAACCTGCATTTTTTCAGTTAGTTAGATTAGAATTCTTATTACAAAAACCTATAAGATTAAAACCAAGCTCTAGTAAAAGGTACTAGTAAGTACAAAAGTTTCTTTGAAGCTCATGGTTTTAATTTTAAAACCTAAATTTAAAAAGTCTTTGTTTAGCTGCAGTGGAGCTACTTATGCTTAGTCAACTGTGTATAATTTTAGTGGGGTGTATTGTTTACTATTATGCTAACTATCATTAACTTATAGTTAGGTATTTTTTTCACAAGGGAGCATGCTAGTGTGTGTATTGGATTATATAAATTGCTTTATTCACATATATGAAACGAAACATGTTTTGTGGAGTGATTTGCACTTCCTTTTTGGATCATACTGTGTTGTCAGTCATGAACTACATAAGAGGTCATTGTAAAAAATTAAAACTCCTTTTCCCTTGTGTAGGTGATAGTTAATGTTTCTGAAATCTTTTCTTCCTTCATTATTTTTTCAAAGATTGTCTCAGTAAAGGTTCCTCTGTACTGTATTTCTTGAAGACTTTTATTTAGTGCTTATAACTGTAGTATTTAATACACAAGATTAAAGTTTGTCCTTTTTTTGCTTAGTTCATCCCAGGTGAAAAGGCATAACTTTGTGCAGGATCTTACTTATATTGCAGAGCTTAAAAAGTTCTCATTTCCTACTACCTCTCCCTTTCTTTACAAAGTATTTTTCTGTGCGTAGCATATGACATTTATTTATGTGGCTCTTTAACAGACAGGAAACGTGTTAATGGTAAATAACTGCTCCAGAATCTAGCTACATCAGCATTGTGTTTTCTGTCAAAATTGAGGGGAAAAGTGGTTTCATTCTTTTAATAATTGTCAATGCTAAGGCATAGGTTTAAGATGCTTAGAAATAAGTGTCAGGTCAGTAAATCTGAAAAGCAGTTGTATTAAAGAAGAAAAAAACACTCAAACCCTCTTTAATTTTAGTCAATATGGAAGTTTCTGTGGGGATTGTGTTTTGTCTTGTGCTTTGTTTTTTTCACTAAGTTAAAGCATGCAGCATCTAGGATTGAAAATTGATTCTATATTCCAAACATGTATTTAAGAGCCTGCAGATATTTTGCCTTGAATTAGAACTATATAGTGACTGCATGCACATGAAATAACACCCCTCTGCTCAAGGCAAGTACTGTCTCTGACAAAACCATCCCAGTCAACCATCTGCTTAACCTGCTCTTAAAAATGTCCAAGGTTGGAAAATTCCACAGCCTGTATATGTAGCCTGTTCCAGTGTTTAACTTTTCTTATAGAAAGTTCTTCCTAACCTAAATTCCCTCTACTGCAGTTTGAGGGCATTTTTCCTAGTCCTGATACAGCCACAGAAAATATTTTATATCCATTCTCTTTTACAGTTGTCCTTCAGGTATTTGAAAACCGTTAACAAATCTTGTCTCAGTACTGTCTTCTTCAGACTAAGTAATCTTAGTTCTTTAAGCAGGGTGGATTTGATTGAAATCATTGGGCAGGAAGCCTTGACTTAATCATTGTTTTCTACAAAAAATGCATTTGTGTTGTTTAATATCCTTTATTTATTTAGCTTGTTGAAACTGTACACTTTTAGAGAAAGGGAAGAGCTTGCCTGTGTGTACCCAAACTTGCAGAGAAACAGTAGGACTGATGGGTGGGGAATCAGCAGGGATCCTGGTTTTCCGTTTCCCACAGAAAACCAGAAAACCACAGATTTCCCATTTTTATCAGACAAAACACAGATTTTCCCTTTTAGAAGAGAAACCCATGGATTTTCCCCTTTTGCAAAGAGCTCTGCAGGTTGGCTGAGTTCCAGCCTACAAGAGCTGTTTGCAGAAGGGGCAGGGAAACCCTCAACCCTCTGATGAGGGGGGAAGAGCAGGGCCCGACACTCGCACTTACCAGAGGCTGCTTCAGGTTCGTTCTTCTTGCTGGAGGTAAGTGGGTCTTGGGGGTTGTGGAGCATGGCTGGGGGAGGAAGCTGGCTAGGAGCTGAGGGAGCAAGGAAGTTTGCAGCCAGCCAGGCACTTTGGCTGGGAGTGGGTGTGCAGCCTCCCCACTCCCAACCAGAGTGCTCAGCTGGCTTGAAACTCCCACTGCTCCCGGCCAACTACAAACCTCCCTGCTCCCTCAGCCCCTAGCCAGCTTGGACACTCCCCAGCTGGGCACTCTGGCCAGGAGTGTGGGCTTGTAGCTGGCCAGGAGTGGCGGAGGTTTGCAGCCGGCCGAGCACTCTGGCTGGGAGCAGACAGGCTGCAAACCCTCTCCCAGCCGGACTGCCCAGCCAGCTGCAAACCCTTGGTTGCAAACACTGTGCTCCCTGCCCTGCTGCCCTCCCCCAGGCTCTCCAGAGCGCAGTGTGTGCAACTGGCACAGCAGCAGAGCTACGCACAAAAGCTGCCTGCCACTGCAAGCTCCATGCTACCCTGGCCGCACTTCCTCTGTGTGCACGGGGGCAGTGCACACCCACCCTGCCCCCACACAGATCTGGGGGGTTCTTGTCCCCCTCCCTCTCTGGAGTTCATGCTGCCACTGGGACCCGGCCCCATCCAAGCCTGGATCAGGCAGGCAGCAGGGGAGGAGCCGGGTTGTGCTCCTGCTGTAGCAGCCACTGCCCCTTCCGTTGGGGGCAGGGGGCTGCAGACCTGGGTCCCTAGCCCCATAGCCCTGACAGCTGGGGGGCCCCCTCCAGCAGGGCTGGGGGGCAGGGGTTGTGGGTGGGGGGCAAGGGACACAAGCAGGGTTGGGGGGCTGTGGGGGGGAGTGAGGGACACCAGCAGGGCTATGGGGGGCATTTAATTTTAACCACAGATTTTGGGATTTTTATCAGCGAATTTGTGATTTTTTTTTTTAATCACGGAAAACCAGGATCCCTGGTAATCAGGTCTGTTTTCTCTCATCTCCAGGGATCCAGGTTTTCTGTTTCTCACAGAAAAACGGAGTAAACCACGTATTTTACCTTTTACCTGAGGCAAATGTGGATTTCTCATTTTACCAGGGAAGCCCACAGATTTTGCAGTGAAAGCTGGCAGAGTTCCAGCTTACAGGGAGCTGGGAAGGAGCAGGAGGAAGGCAGTGAGACAGGGAGCGCCACATGCATGTTACATGCACATTAGGCCCTGTGCGAATAGGGAAGTATTCGATTTGGATTCGGACGATTCGGAGGACAGTGATTCAATTTGGAGATTCACTGTCCTGAATCGATTCGGCCAAATTGGCTTCAGAAGATTTGGTGTTGATTCGGAGAGATTCAGAGATTCACCCATAAACTATAATGGGGAATCACTGAAATACCTATAACTTTGTTATTTTTTGGCTGATTTGGATACAAATCACAGGGATGATAGCGCCTTCTGAGGGCATAAAGCCTGACAGGTTTCAAGGAGATAGGTGAAGGGGTGTCTGGGAAACTGCACCTCAAGCTGCTGACAAGCAAAACTCATTTCATGTGTGTGTTAAGGTACAACAGGGTGAAAACTGCAGGTGTGCTAGCCCCTGCTGAGGCCATGAAGCCTGCCAGGGTTTCTGGGAAGCCTGCCAGGGTAGCTGCAAGGGTTTCTGGGAAACTTCACTTCAGGCTGCTAACAAGCAAAACTCTTGACATGTGACCGTGTGTGTGTGTATGTTAATGTACGCCCTCACTGGTGCTGGGGCTTCTACACAACACGGTAGTGTGCCCCAATGTGGTCTCGTCCTCCCCTACAGCCTCAGTCCGGTCGACCACTTTAAATGACAACAGGTAAAATAATAACTTAGTGAGCAGCAGCACAGTAGCACCAGCAGCATCTCAGGCAGCCAAACTGTGACAGAGCCTTTTTTTCCTCTCCTGCAGAAGCTTCTTCTCCAGCAGCTGCCAAAGAACTCTCCCTGCCAGTTCCAGCCCTGGGGCACAGATGTGCCCAGGGCCCTGTGTCCTTCCGGTCAGCTGACATGGGACAGGTGCTAGGGGTGTTGGTCTAAGGACATGGCACTGGCAGACAAGGTTATTTGGGTCAATCTGGTATCTTTTAATAGGCCACCTGAATAGTTAGAGAAATATGTCTTAGCAAGCTTTAGGGTTGAAAAACCCTTCGTCAGGCTGAGGAAGCACCTGCAGTTGGTGTGTGTGCTGTTCCTGGATGGAAGGAATAGTAAAGAAGCCAGAGGCTGGCATGCAATGCAGGTAAGAAAGCCAGTCAGTGAAAATGGAAATGGAGGTGTCAGGGGGTGAGGGACAGGCTGGGATGGGGGGGAAGGGGATGTAGCAGCACAGGTAAAAGTGAAGAGGTGCCTGGGGAGTCAGATGTCCATCAGGTTGTAGTGTCATAAATCCATGCCTATATTGAGTCCATGAGTTTCTGTATCTAGGAGGTTGATGAAGTGCAGTTCATAGGCCTGGCTGTGAAAAGAGGTTTGTAAATTCAAGCAACCACCAAACCTTGGTAACTTAACCTCATCACCAGAACTGAAGCCAACTTCCTACAGCTCAAAAATACAAAACCTGCCAACTATCTCCAGTACCCCCAAAATGGCACACCAGAATCTATCAAAGACAATAATACCCAACTACCTGTGGGGGCACATTTCTCACAGAAAACCCACTGTCTCCAGTCTCTCAGGCCTGATCCTGAAAGGGAATTTACAAACCACTTTTCACAGATGAGCCTATGAACTTCACTTCATCAACCTCCTAGATACAGAAACTCATGGACTCAATATAGACATTGGATTTATGACACACTACAACCTGCCGGACATCTGACTCCCCAGGTACCTCTCCCCTTTTACCTGCACTGCTACATCTCTCTTCTTCCCACCCCAGCTTGTCCCTCACCCCCTGATGCCTCCATTTCCATTTTCACTGACTGGCTTTCTTACCTGCATTGCATGCCAGCCTCTGGCTTCTTTACTATTCCTTCCATCCAGGAACAACACACACACCAACTGCAGGTGCTTCCTCAGCCTGACAAAGGGTTTTTCAACCTGAAAGCTGGCATCCCAGGCAACTAAGCTGAGCTCACCTAGAGCCTCACAACTCCACTGCAACCAGCAAGCCTCAGGCCTGTCAAAGACATGACAGGTCTGGGCTTTCCCCAGCCAGGACTGTGTGTGTGCATGTGGTGGCTGGAGGTTATGGCTCCTCCTACCTGCCTTTCACCAGGGGGATCCTCGGTCCTGGCATTTCCTGGGGCTGCCGTGCCACCAGCAGTGCCACCAGGCCTCCCTGCCCCTGTCCCTGGCAGAGTGCAGTTTTAGTGGTCATGCCCAGGACCTGGGGCCTCCTCCTTCCCCATAGCCCCAGCCCATACCTCTAAGTTCGTCCTGGCATGGGAGCTCAGCAGAGACATGTTCTTCCGCTGCTGGCTAGTGATGCAGTGAGTGACCCCTCCAGCGCTGAGAGCAGGGCATTAACTGGTTTAAAAAAATAAAACAGAAATAGGTGCAGATGGAGTGAGGAGGGTGACGCGCTCACTCCGTCTGCACCTGGAGCTTAGGGAACCCCAGCAGCAGGAGGTTCACCTTGAGGAACACCAGCTGCTCTGCCAAACCAGGATCCAAACAGGTACAGTGGGGTGTCACTACATCCCCAGCAATGCTGAACACCCTCTTGCTCAGAACACTTGTCGGTGGACAGGACAGGTGTTCCTGGGCAACCAGGACCAGATCCTGACTGCGGGTTGCCCAATAGGCCAAGGGGTCACAAGTCTAGTGGCTCCATATCCCTGGCGAGATAGGTAGCCACCTAAGCCTCAGCGCTACCTTCCCAAGGCTGGGGTCTGGTGCATCTGTATAATAAAAGATAGCACATCTACCCAAAGAACCTTGTCTGCCTATGATCTCTGGAGACAAATCCACAGTTTGAGAACTAAAACTAATCATCGCAGCGATGCTTAATGGGATCTTCTAGACTGAGCACTGAGTCCCATTGGGTAGAGTGGTTTTCTTTAATCTTTACTTGAAGAGCCTCTGGGAGCCCTAAAAATTGGGCCCCTAATATGGTCCATGGCCTTTGTGACCTATTTATAAAACTTCTAAAAAGGTTACATAAATATATTGTCTTAAATAGTATATAATTAGACATTTTAATCCCTGTTCTGTGATGATACCTTTGAGCTTTAACATACCTTAAATTAAAACTATCTTTATATGTTTATTTTTTAAAGGCATCTTAACAAAAAAAAATATTAAATCAAAGAATATTATTTTAAAAAATTGTTGATTTTTATCCACTCTGCCTTTAAGCCTGTTCTCATAAATCAGTGTTTCTTGGGCCCCTAAATCATTTTTGTCCTTCCCTGCTGGATTCTTTCTATTTTGTCTGCAACTTTCACGAAGTGGAGGGCCTAAGATTGGACATAGTACTTCAGATGAGACCTTACCGATGCTAAATTGAGTGGAAAAATCACTTTCCTGGTTTTGTGATGCTTCTTTTAATACTGTTGGCCTTTTTTTGCAACAAGAGTATGTTGTTGGCTCATATTCAGCTTATGGTTCACTGAAAACCCCAGTCCTTCTCTGCAGTACTGCAGCCTAGACAGTCATACGTGTGTGTTTGCAGGTGTATTGTGTAGTCCCTAGACTTTGGTACCATCAGCTCCACGCTTGCTGCAGCTAATGCCAGATGCTATTTGTAGTGGTATTGTACTTTCTTTCTCAAATAACTGTTAAGAAAGATCATGCTTTTGGAGATGTATTAGCTGAGAGAGCCTCACTCCCTACCACTGCTAAATGCTTTGTCAAAGGAGAATGGATCGAGTGACAGGAAAAAGCCATCCTTGATCAGGCAGCTAGTGCACTGCAACAGCTGCTTATCATACTGACTAATAGTACTTCATTGTTTCCTTGTGCTTCCCCTGTCTGTCTGTATCCATTTGTTGTCTCTTATCTTAGCTTGTAAACTCTTCTGGGCAGGGCTGTCAGTTTTGTTATATTTATAAAGTGCCTAATGCAGTGAGGACCTGAGCAGTGAGTGAAGCTGATAGATACAGCTGCAGTGCAAAGTAATAACTGCAAAGACATGTTACTTATCAAAAAGAGTTAATGTAGGAAAACGGCAGACTCATGTCTGTTTAATCCCTTTGTAGATTTCCATTCAGATTACTCTTTTAGGCATTTGCTTTATCTAAGAAAATCAGATCCTTTACATTTCAGCTAGTTTCTCATTATATGAATTGATTTATAATGGCGCATGTTTTTTTACCGTCTAATTTGCAGGGCGTCTTCAGTTCTCGAGGGAAAAAAATTCTTATGGCTGATGCAGATGGAGCGACAAAATTTGCAGATATTGAGAAAGTAGAAGAGGGCCTTAGTAATCTCCAGCCATGGCCAGTAAGTACATGTTCCTGTCGCTTTTTTTTGTATATGGACTCAGTGTTATATTTCTCTTAATACATTAGTGCATTAAGCGAATGAATTCCAGGTCATGATTCTACAAATGTTTATTCATGTGCTTAACATACCTTAAGTCAGTGAGACTCCTCACAGATAAGTTAAGTGTGCAAGTCTTCACAGAATGGGGGTCTGAGTTTGCATGTATTTACTGTCATGTGATATCTCTCTAACTGAGTCTTTAACCTTTCTACTTTCAGGCCAGCTCTTTCAAGTGAGATTCAGATGTTGTGGTGCTCTAGTTCTTTTTCATTTTCAGTGACTACTAGATGTAAATGCTTACTGTACTGTCCACTCACTTAAAAACTTGCTTTCCCTAGCTTTGCTCGTTTGATTTTTATACTATGTTTTCAACTTTATTTCATCCTGTATAGCTTTAAGGATGACTCCTTTCCTATGCCCAGCAGCTGTCTTTTCAGTCAGATTAAATATTATCAGCAAAGACTGACTAGACCTTTTTATCTTGGGGAATTTTTCTGTTAACTCATGTCAAATAATCAGGCCTTCTTGGATACTTACTGTCTGTAGCATAGTGGTGAAAGACATTTTGGGTGAGGTGGTACCTAGGGGTGCACCGATAGAGATATTTTGGGCCTATACTGATAGCCGGTTTTTAAGGAGGTATATCGGCCAATACTGATCTGAATTCAGATATGTAGCCCAGCAGTTTGAAGAACAGTGTCTGGCTGGTAAGTCTGTTGTGATGGATAGGGAGGGGGCAGATCAAGGCCCTTACGGTGAGGGAGGAAGTGGGGCTGGGGCAGGCACTGCCTGGCTGGAGCAGGATGGAGCCGCAAGCAGCTTGTCCAGGGGGCATGGGGAGGGGGCAGTTCCTGCCACTGTGCACACCGCAGGAAAGCATGAGGGGCCCACAGTGGCAACCCACCCCACCCTGTACAAATGGGGGGGGCAGACACCCCCCCATGCCCTCCCAGGTTGCGCACAGGGGCCCCCCCGCCCCACCCTAGCTGGGTAGCACCTGCCCCAGGCTCAGCCCCACTCCCTCCCTCACCGCAAGGGCTATGATCTGCTCCCCCCACACCCTTTCCCTTCCTCCACCCCTTCCCCCCACAGACCTACCAGCCCAGTGTTGGTCTCCAAGCTGCCAGGCTGCATGCAAGCACAAGGCATTTATTGGCTATATTATTGGTCACATCAGGCAAAGAAAGCCGACTTCCGATACAGTCAATTTTCTTTATATCTATGGTCTGATATTGGATCAGCAATGTATTGGGGCACCTCTAGTGGTATCTGTGCATTTGAGTGGAGGGGCAATATGCAGCGTTTTAAATTGGCCATTTTTCTTTCCTTGGCTGTACCTTGCTGTGAGCAATTACCAGCAGACTACAAACCAATACAATAAATTATGATTCTCATAACTATTTACTTATACGTGGTACTATTCTGGCACCAGTAGATGGCGCTAATTAATTGAGATGCCTCTACTACCTATGTACTACTGAAAAAGTATCTGGCATTAGTTCTTGAGAATTTTTCCAAAGTACAAATATGGTATATTTTATGTTAGTAGTACTGTGTGAATAATTGGATTACATATCATTGGAAATCACCTCTTTGGGTTCAGTTTAGGCCAGAAGGTTTTCCCACACGCAAAACGCTGCAGTATTGGCAAAATCAACTATTTTATCTTCTAATGTTTCCCTTTTGCAATAGTAAGGACAAAAATGCCTGTGCAGATTAAATGGGATTGGATATTTTTATGGTGTCTGCCATATTAAAATATTGTGCTGTCTAAATAATTCAGCAGAACAATCTTAGTTTGGAACCAGACCTTGAAAAATTGCAGTCAGTACACTCCAAATAAAAGGTACAGCAAGCTATATGCAGACTGTGAAATGTGGGGAAGTCTTATTTGATCTACAGAGTCCAACAGTAATATATGTGAAACAACCAGGCTTGAAAATTTCTGTTACTTGGAGAAATTTAACTTCCAAAATTTGGCTGTTGTGATGCTTTTAGGTTTCACTTAAGAGCCACAAATAAGAAGCAACCTGTGTGTCAGAAAACACTGGTTTTGTTGTAGTTAGCTGATAATTCTTTTGTATACTGTACTTTCTTCTTTAGGACCAAATGGCTATATCTTGTGGCTCTCGTGCTCATTTGGAAAAGGACTCAATAGCACAGGTACATTTCTCTTTCCTAATAAACACTAGTCCTGCAGTGCTTCTGTAATTCTGTGTTAATGCTCAAAGTTTTTAATTGAACAAATCAAGACATGTAAAAGGAACAAAGACTGGAAGTGGGGAAATCTATTTGCTGTGAACATATGCTAAATCACATCCAACACCTTTCTGCTCCTACATCTCAGATGCCACCATCTAGCATCAGCTCAATTTCAGCTGTCAGTTCAGTTGTAATGATTTATATCAATTGTTCCTGACAGACAATAGCTTGCAGAGGTGCAACTATAGGTCTCAGACATATTAGGTAGCATGAGTCCAGGAGTTTACTGTATATGCCCTTTCTGGTTTTATTTTGGATAATATGCAGAGCTTTAGGTACCATTCACATAGATGGACAGAAGCCCACTCAGCCATTCCAGTCTAAGAGCTTGTTGCTCTGCTTATCTTAAGATCTGCTGTGGCTGAGTGGTAATGAGGACTGGTATAGTTTGAGAGTATTATAGTCCTCTTGCAGTTATCCTAATGAAAATGTTTAATTTAAATATCCAGGGGGAAGATGTTGTTGCTACCACCTAAACGTCCTCAGCAAATGCAAATTTGGAATTCAGATTTCCAAAAAACTCCCTTGGAAAATCTTCTCTTTATTTTAACTAAAACTCTTTGATACATTTCTGCCTTGGGAGACTCAGAAATTAAAACAAAAACAGAGGGACCAAGACACTTCTTGGCAGAAAATTATAATATGTAGATGACTACATATGCATATTGCATCTTTTGATGGAGTAGATGTGTTGAGGGAATTGGTGTTGTGTTCTGTGGTGATTATGAGTTCCAAACAAAGAGATCCCCGGGAGAAGACTGTCAGGGGTTTTGTGCAAACATTGTTAATCCATATGAAAATAAAATTCAGTGGGAACATCTACACATGCATTAATGTGCTGTAATTATGGTGCATTAAGTTTAGTACCTGTAATAGGTACTGAATGTGCCATAATTGGCACTACTGCACAGTAGCACCAATGCACATATTTTATGTGACACTGAAGTACAGTATACTAATTCTGCTTCACATTAACATGGCTTTCACCATGATGTGCTAATGTGTAGACTTAGTCTACTGTGTTTCTAGTATCTCATGTAGATGTGCCCAATATGAACAATATAGGGAAACTGCAGGAGAATAAAATATTGAATGCGCATTAGGCAGGAGCTCAGTATTTGACTCCTGTGCAACAAAATGTTGCGTTGTCATGCTGTTTTATCTTACATCTGGTTTACTGGTGAGTTGGCATGCAGTGTCTGACAAAGTGCAGGCATGGAACTTGTATTGCAGCAGACACGTAGCTGGAGTAATTTCTTTAGCATCATTAGATGTACCTCTCATGTTGGATGTTCTCTAGAACAAGCTTTGTTTATGTGCATATGTAATACTTGAAATCATTCTAAGGTGTATACAAGATACTAAAATAGCTGCAAAAGCCCAAGAGAAGATGCAGTAGAATTTTCTAAATCTGGTAGGAGTTCATCTTTTCCCTCTGGCTTATCAGAGTGTTATGGACTTGGCAGAGCTCCTGTTAAGCATTAGTTAGTTGAATGCTTTTGTCAGAAATGGAGAAGAAACCCCTAACATCACTCAGTAATGGATCTGAATCCTGCACTCTTTTCTACCATTTATGGATGCAGAAGATTCTTGCTGTATACCCAGGCTTGCCCTGGATTGGAGCATCCAATCTTAGAGAATGTTGGGCCTGGTGCTTACAGAGCACAGGGAGTGGTCTCCAGCAGCACTGAATGCTCTCCTGATAGTTGTTTCCTTCTCAGAAACCCTGCCTGATAGGATAAAGGATTAGAGCAGGATTCTCTAAGGACAAATGTAGAGTTTGAAGGATGGATGGTACCTCTCCTTCCCCTTTACCCCCATGATATCTCTTAGGTTAGATTCAGTTTTAAAATTCTGCCCTTTCAGAACCAATTGTAGAAAAAGTTGTTTTTTTTTTTTACTTCAAAATCATAAGCTGTCCTGTGTGTAAAACACAATCTCATACAGGGCATATCTACACCTGCACCCTAATGTGCAGCAGCCTATTTTACTGCACATGAAAGCATCATGTAAAAACCTGTGCAATCATGCTAATGCACAGTAAAATGGGCTACTGTGCATTAAGCGTCACTTAAAAAAAGTGTCTTGGTACTGCGCACTAGAGTAGCCTAATGCACATTTATTTAGTACCTCACACTGGAGGTATTAATTTAATGTGCATTAGGAAGAGTGCATTAATGCATGTGTAAACACACCCATGTGTTCATAAAATTGTACTTATTAAATCTGTAGTTCATATGATCTCTCTATATAAATTTGCGTACATTTAGTATCTTAGAAATAAAACTTTAAACCCTGTATTTGCAACAAAATATCTCATTCCGAGTAATAGGGCTTTAAATGATTCAAGTGCAGAACTGCTCAGAAATATGCAGAAATGTCATTTTGACAACATATACTTGGATGGTGCCATATAATTGTTGCAGACACACATCAGTTTCTATAGCAATTTCATTGGGAAGTTTTATGGGTTGGAAGAAGGACTGTGTAGCTAACAGTTAAGATATTGGCCTGGCTTGGGGGCTAGACTGGTCCAGGCTGCTATTATTCCAGGCCCTAGTGAATGAAAAAATTCCCAGAATAAGTCAGAGCAGGGTGAGAATCCAGGTTTTCTACATCCTCTGCCAGTGTCCCAAACAGTGTACCTTCACAGAATTCTGTTTCACAAAAATGTTTGAAAGATTTTGGTTTTGTTCCCGTGTGGAATGAAAACAAATTCTGCACTTTTTCAGGAGTCTGTAAAACACAAGTGTTATCCTCTGGCCAGCTCTGTTGAACACTCCTTTTGAAATAGAAAAGAAAACATGTAATTTCTTGTCTGTTGTCCACAGCGCTCTTATTTCCGAACGCTTCTAATGTATGGGTTCCACTTCCTCGTATGGTTCCTCTGTGTCAAAGACATCCGGGACACACAGTGTGGATTTAAACTGCTAACCAGAGAAGCTGCCTCACAGACCTTCTCAGTTCTTCATATAGACCGCTGGTATGCTATTTCTGTTCACTTGTGCTTATTTAGTATTTTTAATGTTTTGCAACAGTGGATAAGCCTTGTGCAGAAATAATTCCAACATGGTAACTGTATTAAATAATACGGTGCATACATATTAATACACCTACTCAATCTGCTATATTAAGGAGTAGCATATGCTTTTATGGCATTTTAGATATTTTTCTATATTAGTGTTTTGTATTTGCAAGGAATTTTATCTCTTACTAAGGTAACCTATAGAAAATTGTTGCATAATTGAACTCATTCTGTTCCCACTTACTTAAGAGGCATATAGCATACCAGGTGGTAGAATGTTTTAGTGGAGTTTTGATATTTACATGGAGTATCTGAATTACAGATAACAAGAAGGCTCTTGTGACTGTAATGATAAAGCTATGGAGGACTAATGATGGTTAAACCCTTGCAATCTCTCCTTATTCCATGTTCTGAAAAGAGGGACATGGTAGCTTGTGCTTCTATCCAGTATGACTTCACAAGCCATCATTTTTCTGACTAATAAACTGTCTCTCAAATCACTTCCATAAAGTATTTAACTTTAAAAGCATTTATTATAAAGATGACTAGCGTAAGACTAACATGCAAAGGATGTTCCTGTTGCACTCTGATTTCTATGCTATACTGTTTAATAAAAGTGAGCAGTTGATGGCTTTCATTAATTTGGGAGAAAGGCAGTAAAAAGCCATGAATGACATTTGGATTGCTCTAGAGCTGCTTTTCAGTGTAATTTAACTCTGTACAGGGCAATGGCATTTCTATGATAAGACTGGCATAGTGATGACAGCTATTAAGAGAGTGAAATGCTATTTCTACGTAACTGTCATAATTTCTGTAGATTTTACATGCCATGTCTGTTGCTAAAAAGGAGGCATTTGAGGCTGACAGGGCCCAGGTTTAATTAAGTATAATTTAGGCTTTTCAGACTACTGTCTTCAACTAGGAAAATGCCTCATAGAAAGACTTGTGTTCCCTTACCCAGATTATTCACAAGACTAGAGCAAAGGGACAGCATAGAAGTTTCCAGGGTGTGCACAGTCCTACCTAACCAAAGCCAGGACTTCTTGTTTTAAGCTCAGCTTTACCAGCAGTGGTAGCAAAGCTGTACTGCTCCTAGAATAGGGATGCAAAGATGGGTAGGTGGGGGTGAAGGAGCTTAACAAATCTGACAGGGACTTGGAAGGGAAGTACTTAGCCATCTGATAGCATCTTCCCAGAATTTCAAAGTTTTTCACAGGCATTAAGTCTTCTCATGTTCTTAAAGATGGAAAAGTGGAAGCAGCAAGTTCTGAAAGGCATGGAGCCCCACAGCTCCAACTGTCTTCAATTGGAATTGTGGATGCCTCAAACAAAGATATCTTCCTAGGTGAGTGATTTGCCCAGGGTCCCAAAGAGAAATTATAACAAAACCAGAAATATAATGTTTAATATTAAAGCCCAAACCATTCATCTTGCCCCTAAAACCAAGCTTCATAAATTAAATTATATGAATTTCTCTGTTAATTCCTCCCATTCTTATTAGACAGTGCCCTTGATTGAGCCTGGATATAGTGCCCTACACTACATTTCTCAAAATGTATTATTTTTCTGACAGTCTGTTTGATTTTAATGAGTGTCTATTACTCCAGGAGGGTTGGCACAACAGCTGTACTCCAAGGAAGAGGAAACCTACAAATATAATTGACTTGTAGTCTTTGCAAAGTACACTTGTGGAGGACCTTAAATGGAAGTGATCAATCTTATTCTGTTTGAAATAGAAGCATTTCAAATAATTCCAGTTCCCAACTTAGCACCCTCTAAATATCATGTTCTGAATTATTTTTAAAAAACCCTTTAAAAATGAATAAGAATTTTGCTGCTGCTTTGCTTCTAAAAAAATATTCAGCATGAGAGAAAGGAAAGATTGTAAAAAAAACCGAACACTGTAAACTAACAGTAACACAAAATGAAGTGTGTGGGGGAGAATAGAGATAAATTTTTGACTACAGCAGAAAGATTTTACTACAATAGACATTTTAGGTGCTACATATAATTGTAGAAGGCACCAACTGTTTGGGGTTATGTTACTTTCAGTTTGATGTGTGAACTTTGTTGTACTTGTTTGCATGACTACAAAGTGTACCCTCTGCTGTAGAATTCATGCCCATAAGGCTTTCTTATTTTACTGTATTTACCTGAGACAGTGACTTGGAATTTAAGACAACCCTCCAATTTTTAGGTTCTATACATGGAAAATTTTATAAAGTTATAATTTTCCATGTGCAGAATATTAAGTATTAGACACCACCCCTCCCATTCCCCTACCCCCACTCCCATCACTGCCACAGTGGAGAAAGTGACGGGGGAGTCAAGCAGCCCTCCATCTCTTGCTCTTTCCCCACCCCACACCTAAACCTCTGTTGCCTGTGTCCCACCGCCTCCTGGCCTCCCCTTCTGCCCCCTCCCCTCATTCCTCCCAGCCACCACTTACCCTTCCTTAATCACAACTCTAGGCTAGAGCGCACAGTGTCTATGGCCCACCCAGCCAGGCAGCTGTGGTTACAATGGTGACAGCAGCTCTGGCCCCAGCCTGGGTGGAGCCGGGGCTGGGGCTACTGTCGCTGCTGCTGCTGCTGCCTAGAGGGATGAGAGCCAGAGCCACTGTGTGCCTGGGGTCAGAGCTGGAGCTATGACTAAGAGTAAATGGGGGGGTGGAGAGGCTGTAGGAAGCAGACGTCATGGGGGCAGCAACTCCAAATTTGATCCTGACCCTGAATCCAGATTGGGGCTAGAACCGGACCCTCAGCAGTCACCTACCCCCATTCCCTCCCCCAGCTTGTATCAGGGACTTTTTTCTCTATATTGAATGGCGGGGGAGGGGACCTCATTTTCCATTTGAGTAAATAAGATGTGTCCAAAACTTGTCTGCAACCCTGAGCACTCTGTTAGCGGGGGGCGGGAAAAGAGTAGTTCATGTTTTTTCCATGAAACACTTTAAACAAAATAGGCAGTTTTGTCTAAAATGAGAATATTTTTGTTTATTCTTTCAGTATAATTCCAGTGTTCTCTTTCAGCATATTTCTGTGCCTTGCTTCGCTGTATATATTTTTATCAGATCATTATATGTTTTATCAATTTTCCCCTTAGAAACAATAGATTATATTTAATACACATGAATCCCTGTGTAAAATTGTGAGGCTCTCACGAAGTCCAATCTTGGACTCCGCTGCTTTTGGATAAATATGAATTCTGATACATTTGCAGCCTATAACTGGAGATGAGCATCCAGTCTGGCCTAGTGCCATGGAGGTTCTGTGCATATCCTGAGGCTGAGTGGGGATAAAAGAGGAAAGAAACCCAGCTTCTTCTGAAGAATTGAAACAAAATCAACAATTACATTCCAGTAGACCTCTCATTTCTATTAAGAAGACAATATATATTAGTAATGTTTTTTTCAGAAAGGGAAACACTCCCTCTGAGAGAACAGTGTAGCACCACTGTCTGATAAATTAATTTGGATGGGGATTGGAGGGAAGTTGCTATTCAGAGAGGAAGAATTGTTTCCACCCTGAGCAGTGGGTTTTGACATTTATATAAATGAATCTCCTGTTGGTTTCCAAGTTATTTAACTTCTCTGTGCCTCATTTTCTTATTTCAGAGGCATGTCTGTCTAAGGATCATTGTCATAGCCTTGTTTGGTCTCCCTACATGCCACCCATCAGCTCAGCTCAATAGAGAAGGGCAGAACACATGAAGAGCTGCTCAGAAAAAAATATGAGCATGTTTATATGAGCACTTCCCATTTGCAGGATCTTCATTATGCCTTCTCTCTGCTGGGCTGATCTGCTTCAAGATCTTTTGGAAGTCAGCAAAGGCCTGAGTTACGGAAGAGGAAACAAGCTAATGCAGGGGCAAAATATGGTTCACAGGCCAGATCTGGCCTGCCAGGCAATTTCATCCAGCTTGCCGGCACCCACCACTTAATTGTACCCTGCCCAGCTCGCACACATTGCTCCCATCCTCATACATGGAAGGGCCTGGCCCAGCCAGCACGCAGCTTCCAGGGCAGGGCTGCTGCAGCCACTGCTGCAGCTGTTGGGGAACCTGCTTTGTATCCCCGGTGTCCAGAGGCTCCTCTTCGTCTTCCTGCTGCAAGCAAGGAGCATAGGGCTGGGGCTGTCAGGAAGGTGGAGCCCATGGGTGGCAAGAGCACAGAGCTTGGGTGGGCAGGGTTTGGGTGTGAGGGAGGGTGGGGGGTTGTGCTCCCTCCCCTCCCCCCGCGCATGGTACACAGCCCCTGGCACTAACAGCAGCAGGCAGCGGGCCTTCTGCAGCAGGTGGTGCCTGGCTCCAGCCAGAGCTGCATGTGGTGTCAAGGAGTGCAGCCAGGCCAGTCCGCCACTATCATACGGGGCTCCCTGCAGCGCACATGCAGCTCCGGCGCTCATGTGCCATGAGGGGGAAGACCCACATGATGAAGCTGGTTGATTTCCCCACTCCCTGTCGCCATATGCAGCTTCCAGGACTCCACTGGAACTGGCAGGGAGCCCTGCCCCTTGCTTCCATGGTGACAGGGCGTGGGGAGGGCAGCCAGCTTTATCACGTGGGGCTTCCCCCCGGTGGCGCATGAGTGCTGGGAGCTGCATGTGTGCCGCAGGGAGCCCCACATGATAGAAGTGGGACAGTCTGCCTGTGCTCCTTGCTGTCATGTGCAGCTCTGGCCAGAGCATTACACTGCCAGACAGCAGCACATGTGCAGGCCATGAGTGCCCCAAGGTCCTGCCTGTTGCTGATGCTGCTACCGCCAACAGATGCTATGCATAATGGGGGGGGGGAAATGGGAGGGGGTCCCCACACTCACATCCTGCCCCCACAACCCCCCATATATACCCTCCCCCACAACATACCCTTTGCCCCCCTGATTGTGCACGCACGTGCGTGCTATATACAAGAGTTAAGACTTTATTATTGGGCTATTATGCAGTCATCTCTATATACAC